CTCGAGGTCCCTTCCAGGCCAAGTGTTCTATATGATTCTATTCCTGCAGCTCCCATTGGCTGCAGATTGACATTCTGGACCGGTCCATGGCTTGCCACAGCTCCAATTGACCAGAAACCGTCAGGAACCGTACCTGTGGTCACACAGGTAAATATGAGGCTGGTGGCCCTCCAAGTGCTAATCCTGGCCAACTGCATCCGGCCTGTTGGCTGCTTATTGCCCGTCCCTGTCTCAGCCCCTCGCCTCATCCCTTCCCCGTCCAGACTCCTAGCTAAGAGGCAAAGAGACTCCTTTCCCTCCAGGTCCTTGGTTGCTTAGGTGTCAAACGGATTTGCCTTTGTCGTCTCATATGCCCCACCGATATGGGGACCAAGTCCCGGGTGATGCCCACCGCTAGCTCTCTTAGCCTGTGCCGAGAGCAAGCAGTCCCTTTCCGCCCCTCCGCTGGGGAACAACGGAGCCCCGGGGGAAAGTGAGGCACATAGCACACGCATAAAACATTATTTCAAAATATTCGCCCTTGTTCACACACGGGGGTAAACCTGAACTAGCTACCAGGACACCCAGGAGTCCAGAATCCCAGCCCCCTTGCTCCGTCTCCCAGGCCCCACCAGAAGCAAAGAGCTGGCCGACGCTATTTCATAAAGGGCCATGAAAGCGCAGCATTAATTGAAACAGAAAATAGCTCCAGAGGGCCCCAAACGGACTGGAGCCTGTTGCGGCAGGTTTCTCAGCCTCAAAATCTTTTTCAGCACCGCTGGTGGATTTTCCATTAAATCAGGATCCTGAGTTTTTCCCATCCCTCCCCTCCACCGGGTACAGCTCTCCATGAAAATACAGGCTCCTTTTCCCCTCTCTGAGACAAGTCTACTGCCTTTCCGGTCAATCTCCCGCCTTTTCCCAAGCTGGTTTCACATCCCCCCATTCATTTCCTTTCCCTGTTGCCTGAATATGTTGTCGCTGGCCACAGGAGCCAGGTGCCTCGGAGGGACAGGGAGGGTGTCCAGAGAGGCAGGCAGATGGGAATAAGGGCAATCCCATTAGCAATTCAAATGTTGACAGGGTAATGGGAGGGTGGTGCACCTCCCTGGTGCTAATAATAATCATTAGAGACATGAGGGAAACGACTTGCGTCTCCTATCGGGAAAACCCCCGTTTCTCCCGTGGCGAGGCTGCGGACCTTCCACCACAAAGGCAGGGAGCACCCACATCTCTGTGGACAGCGCGGCTACCAACAGCGCGCTCCTAGAACGCGAAGCCCCGGGGAGCGGAAGTGAGAGACACTCTGGGCCATGCCCATATTGCCGGGCGGTTCCTCCCGACGGCCTCCTTCACACTAGAAAGCCTGAATTGCATCACACCTGCCGGAAAGGCTGCTGGAACAACAACTTCCCACGGCCCAGCAGGTGTGAGCGAGGGAGGCGCCGAGCTGATGAAATTCTGGCTTTCTAGTAGGAAGGAGGCTGCCGGACATTGCAGTGATGCAACCTGCCTTTGCCGGCCCTCAGGTCGGGCGTGCACAAACGGTAGTCCCTGGACAGCCTGGCGGGACAGACAAGAGAGACACACGTGTGTGCATGGGCTGTAAACACACGAGGGTGTGGGGGGGAGGTGCACACGGGGAGCCCAATATGAAAACTGCAGCTAGCACCACAGAGGCACTTTTGGCTTCCCTGGGTGCCGGGGCCATAATTGGTTTTGTCCCAGTGAGCCACACGGAGCTGGAGCCTAGAGGGGATGTGGAAGCCGAAAGCCAGGGTCCTACTCCTCTGTAAATTGAGATGGGTTCCCTAGGGTCGGGGTGGCATCTCCATTCCTACAGATGTTTCAGTCCCGGCTTGAGCCCTGGCTGGGATGACTGAGTTGGGGCTGGTCCTGCCTCGGACAGCGGGCTGGACTCGGTGCCCGCCCTGGGGCTCTGGGATTCTAGGATTCGGGGGCACTGCAGGGATCTTTCGTTTCGGTATGAGGAGTGTTGCTGTAGAGAGAATGCGGAAGCCAAGAACACGCAGGGTGGGCAGGAGAGGAGCAATGCAGTTAACCATGAACATTATTTAGTCCCTGGAGAGCCTGGTGGGACAGAGAAGAGAGACACACACGTGTGCATGGGCTGTAAACACACGAGAGTGTCGGGGGGAGGTGCACACGGGGAGCCCAATATGAAAACTGCAGCTGTGCCCCATTCCTGCAGCATCCTCCGTAGCGTAAGAGGCACTGTGGGTTCCCCTGGGGTCCCAGGGCCAGGTCGGTCTGGGCCCCCTTAACCACACCATGCCGGAGCCTCAAGGGGACAGAATTCATAGATTCCCACGGCGGGAGGCCCCTGATTTCATGGCCTTTTCTGCTTCTTCCCTGGAGAACAGCCAGATGTGTTAGCAGCTGGCCCGTATGGACACCCCTCATTCTTGCGGGGCACCTCCAGAATTTTGTCTGCTTCGGTGATGTCGCACAGGCGTGTGACACTGTCATTTGGAGAGACCGGCAGCTGCCTTGGAGCTGTCGGATTTACTGCCACCCCGAAGTCCATCGCAAGCGGCTGCCCCCAGTCTAGACAGATGTTTGGGGGAAGGATGTGCCAATCTCCGTCAAAAGTGCAAAAATCCCACAGAGCCAGAAACAGCCAAGTGGGTCGGAAGACGGCCCAGAGAGCTTGCTGGGAAAAGTCACGTCAGGAAGGATGTGCCAATCTCCGTCAAAAGTGCAAAAATCCCACAGAGCCAGAAACAGCCAAGTGGGTCGGAAGACGGCCCAGAGAGCTTGCTGGGAAAAGTCACGTCAGACGAGGGTACACCAAGGCCTAGCAAAGCGTGGAAGTGGGGTGCATGGGGAGGGCTGGCTAGAGAGACACACCAGTGTGTAGGGACGGGGGACAGATTAAGGGCAGCTTTTGTATCGCGTTCGCACCTGTCTCTCTTCCACCCCTGGCGTCAAGGCCGGGAACCCGCATGGCCAGGTTTCAGAGCAGTGTAACACAGGCCTCTCTGGCGGCACCCGCACGCTGCAGCAGTAAAACCCCCTTCCTACGGCTACTCGCGGTCCAGAAAGGAAAACACCAACTTTTGCTCCTTTCAGGGCTGGCGGGTGAGTTTCCGGGAGCCAGTCTTAGGTATTTCATGTTTGGCCTCGGCTGCGTTTTGTGTATTTGAATCTCTTGCTTGTGAGTCTTGTGTGCTTCCCGTGTTATGTGTCTGTGTGTGCTGTGGGCACATACCGCTTGGCTGGGGGCATCCTACCCGTCTCCTCTCCCCCCTGGAGTTTGTCTTTGTGGTTGGCATGTCTGAGCCTCCTGCTCCTGTGAGTCAGAGCCGGGTGATTCCCGGGAGCTGTCTCGGGACGGTGTCTGCTCCCCTGCCGGTGTGAACGAGGCCTTTGTCCATCTCGGCGTTGTTTCCTGGGTGAGCGGCAGCATTCCCCAACTGGTTTCTTTCCACACCCACGCCCTGCCCTGCCTGGACTCACTGCGGGAGGAAGGCGGATCTAAACCCAGCCATGGCTTGGGGCACGAGGAAATCACCAACCCCTCATCTCCCCATCGGGCTCCCAGGGTGTCTCACACGTGCTGTGTCCTTCCCAGTCTTGCTGCCCTCTCGTTATTGAATGTCCAAGGGCTGCTCCTCGTTAAGGGGCTCCCAGACAGCGGCCTTCCTCCTTCGGCGAATTGCTCGCATCCGGCAGGGAGGAACAAAGTTTCACACCGACTCCGGGCTGTGCTGTGCCATGACGCTAGTCCTCCAGGGGTCAGCGCGCCAAGGCTCGGAACCAGGCATTGTGGGTCGGGGAGCGGGACAGCTGGTCTAGAAGTAACCGGCTCATCTTCTCTCTTCTCGTATTAACAGCGCCGTATTAACATAGGCTTCACCTTTACATTGCCACATGGATTTAGACACCTCCTTTCCCCCCGAGCTCAGCTGCATCGAAATCCCTTGGGGGAGGGCTTGCAAAAATTCAGCCTATGATGTGCGTGGGTGCACCTCTCTCTCTGCCCCACGTTGGCAGAAATATAATGACCAGAGAGAGGGGAATACACGGGTTTCATAGCTCATTATCATCCACAACGGGTCACGGACTGTGAAATCCAGACTTCCGTAGCTTTTCCTGCGGCTTTCACCAGGGAGAGCCACGTTTCCCAAACGGGGGGCCCCACCCCAAAAAGGACTGTGGGGGCTGCCAGAAGGTGACTGCTGTGAGGTCGCAGTATCGTCACCCTTCCTCCTGTGCTGCCTTCCGAGCTGGGAGGCTGGAGAGCAGCAGCTGCCCACAGCAAGGTGGAAGTAATGGCGGCAGGGCCATGCCAGGCCGTGTCATCCATCTGGCTGCGCTGCTGCCTTCTCAGTTGGGCGAGGACCCCCCGTCACTCCATGGTGAAATTCACACGTAACTATTGGAAATCAGGACATTACAAGGACTGTGACACTGACCCAAAGGGACTGTCAATTTCTAAAGGCGCATCTGCAGGAGGCGGCAGGGGACGGGGACGGCGGGTGGGGACCTGCGGAGCTGTGGGAGGAGGGGAGCCCAGGGCTGGCGGACCCGGGGGCTGCAGGCCAGGACTGAGGAGCGCGGGCTGAGCTGTGGTTGGCCCTGGATTAGGAAAGAGCCGGGGGGTCAGGAGTTGTCCGTCTGCACGGCCCACAACGGTGTGTCTGTTGGGCGCGTCGGCTTTGCTGCGCCAGCTCCGACGTGCCTGAGGACAGCCACGGGGCCACGGCCGTGAGGTCTGTGCTGCCTGCGAGCCGTGCCCACAAAGCAGGCATGGCCCCACAGGCCTGCCCCAAAATTGCTGCTTTGCTGGCTGGCTGGACACACCCTGAGATGTTCCCGAGGAAACTGGCTGCTCGATTCCCACAGCTGCCGTGCCCACTGGGCCACGGCTCTGAACTCCCCGAGGTTGGGAAATGCTGCTGGCCCACTTCTCGCCTGGATTTCCCCTCCCACTCCGCCCCCTCTGCATCCGGCTGGGCTCTATATAGGCTGCTCCAGGGAGGGAAGGAGGATCCAGGTGCAGCTCCACAGAGACTGAGACCCGGAGCTTCAACCCCAGCAAAGGAACCAGCGCTAGGTGAGTGGCACGAGATCCCACCCGCCGGGGGAGAGGGGAGAACAGAGACACAGGCGCTGCAGAGGGGTGGGGAGTCCAGCTGGGCCGGGGCTCCATGCACCTCGGGGATGAGATTGGCGAGGGGTCAGGACTCCTGGGTTCCTTTCGCAGCTCTGGGAACGAAGCGGGAGGAATAGGCTGGAGGAGACACTGCTCTGATCTCAGCTGGGGTCCCAGAGCTGCCGCCGGGGGAGAGGGGAGAACAGAGACACAGGCGCTGCAGAGGGGTGGGGAGTCCAGCTGGGCCGGGGCTCCATGCACCTCGGGGATGAGATTGGCGAGGGGTCAGGACTCCTGGGTTCCTTTCGCAGCTCTGGGAACGAAGCGGGAGGAATAGGCTGGAGGAGACACTGCTCTGATCTCAGCTGGGGTCCCAGAGCTGCCGGGCTCCAGGGGCCCCTGAAGGCAGCTGGGACATCCCCGTCGCTAACGAGAGAGAGGCCCCAGCCAGCTCCCCTCTAGCCCGACGGCCTAGGGACCCAGAGCTGTTCCCTCTTACGCCGGTCAAAGGCCTGGCCAAGTGCACGTTTGCTACGCAGTCCCTTCTCGCAGTCCCCCAGCACGCCGAGCAAAGGAATACCGCCTAAGGGACAAATTATAAAATCATGTTACAAGTGGCCAATGCCAGGTGCCCAGAGGGAGGGAACAGAACAGGGAACCATCCAGTGACCCCTCCCCCTCGCCCATTCCCAGCCCTGGCACACAGAGACCAGGGACCCTCCTTGCCCATCCATTGATGGACCCAACCTCCATGAATTTCGCTGGTTCCTTTCTGAACCCTGTTCCACTCCTGGTCTTCACAACCTCTCTGGCGCTGTCTCCGTCCATCCCCCCTCCCCACTGCAGGCGGATCCAGACACAGCCATGGCTCTGACAGGTACCTGGTCCACGCTCCTCCTGCCCCTCTTCCTGCTGGGGGCTGGCCTGGCCCTGGCCAACAAGCATCCCTGGGACGAGCAGAACGACAGATTCCTCCTGCGGCACTGGAACTACCCCAGGAGCGAGGCCCCCAACGGCACCTACTGCCAGGCCATGATGCAGCGCCGGGACCTGTCGGGCCAGGACTCCAACACCTTCATCCACGCGCCCGCGGGCTCCATCAACAGCATCTGCAGCCTGGGTGGCAGGCCCGGCCTGCCCAACCAGCGGCGCAGCGTGGCACCCTTCCACCTCACGCTCTGCGCCCTCAACGCCACCAGCCACGCCTACACCGAGACACGCTACCACCGCAGGGTCGTCCTCGCCTGCTGGAGAGGGCTCCCCGTGGACTATGTGAAGCACATCTAGGGCCCGGCGCCGGGCCGGAGGGGGACACGGCGGCTTCCTCCTGCCCCCTTGTCCCTTCCCCGCCGGCCACGCTCCCAGCGTCTCGCCTGCCACTTACTGGCCATCGAAACACCTGTCCCTTCATTGATTTATTGAACCCACCGGTTTTGCCCTTCCAGTGTCCAGCCTGATCCCGGATCGGTCTCACGTTTACCGCGAGTCAGTGTTATTCCTCATCGGTCGTTATTTATGCACCTTTCCCCCATCCCCCGTGTCCTGCAATTCCAGGTGTTCTCAGCACTCAATAAAACCCGATCCCTGGCACAGAGCCCTTGTTGTGTTATTCTGGGCAGGGAAAGGGGATGAGTCACCGGTGTGCTGGGAATGCCGGGCGGCTTTTCCCGAGCGGTTCTCTTTGCTTTCAGTCTTTGCCTCCTGCTAGGGACGCAATGCAGGAGTTTTGGCTTCTCTGTCTGGCCCTTTTCAAACCTACCAGACCCCCTCACCCACTAAAAATAGAATATCGTGTCCTGAAATGTATTGGCCTCTTTGAACCCACTCAGCCCCTCTCTTCTGCTAGCAACAAGGGTCCGGATTCCCAGATGCCCTTGTGCTAGTCCACTGGACCCCCAAACAGACTGGTGCTAATCCGCAAAGGCTCCCCGAAAGCAGACGTCACCCAACAGCCATAAACCTTCATGCTTCAGGGCAGGGACCGGTCGTGAACTGGGCATGGTCAGGAGGAAAATGCCTCCGAGCCAGTTTTACTCTAATTCCCTTTGGGGGTGGGGACAATAATTCCTTCTCCGGCAGGAACTGGGGCTGGCTTGTGTCAGAAACTGAGCTGGGGGACCCCAGCTCTGTGCCAGCCCCCAAATCTCCACTCAGAACAGGGTCATCCGGTCACAGACACCAGGGGCTCTATTTTCTGTGGGGCTGGAGATTCCAAACCAATTCTCCAACTAGTCCGGCGTGCCAAGGGGGCAATGGAGCATTTGGGAGGCAGGTGCCGGACTCCGGACTACACCCCCAACTCCTGTTGTCCCAAACCGGAACCTTCTCTCTATCCCAGTCCCATTCTCCCTCCCCACAACTAGTGCTCCTCGGCCCACAACCCCCTGCTGCTCTGTCTCCAGACCCGTCTAGGTGCAAGATGGCTCTCTGGAGAACATGGGGCCCAGCAGGGATTTGAACCCAGGACGTTACACCCTGGCAGCAAGGTTCCTAGAGCCGGACCAACAAGCGGGGCAGTTCCAGCCCTGCACTCTCAGGCTGCTCCAATGCCACACTCCGGCTGTGTCTAGACACTGCTGTGTCCAGGGAATGTGGCACGTTTTGTGGAAGAGCAGATAGGGAATCATAGAATCATGGAAATGGAAGAGTCCTCAGAAGTCATCAAGTCTAGTCTTCTGCCCAAGGCAGGACCAGTCCCAACTCGCCCTGCCTTCCTCGTCCAGCCCTGCACTCTCAGGCTGCTCCAATGCCACACTCCGGCTGTGTCTAGACACTGCTGTGTCCAGGGAATGTGGCACGTTTTGTGGAAGAGCAGATAGGGAATCATAGAATCATGGAAATGGAAGAGTCCTCAGAAGTCATCAAGTCTAGTCTTCTGCCCAAGGCAGGACCAGTCCCAACTCGCCCTGCCTTCCTCGTGCCC